GACTTACTGGCCTGACAGAGACTGGAGAAACCCGAAGAGTATGGCCCTGGACACCCTTTTAGCTCAGTAATGAAGTCACTCCTGAGGTTCACCTCTCATTCAAAGATTAGACAGGCCCATAAAACAAAATGAGACTAAAAGAGCACACCAGCCCAGGGGCAAGGACTAGAAGGCAGGAGTGGGCAGGAAAGCTGGTAATAGGGAACCCAAGGTCAAGAAGGGAGAGTGTTGACAGTGTCATAAAACAATATGTGTACTGTTCAATGAGAACCTTGTTTGTTCTGTAAACCTTCATCTAAAGTACATTAAAAAAAGTTAAACATAGAGTTGTCATATGACCCAGCAGTTCCACTCCTGGGTATGTGCCCAAAAGAATTGAAAGTAGAGATTCAAACAGATACTTGTACACCAATGTTTATTGCAGCATTATTCACAGTAGCCAAAATGTGGAACTAACCTATGTCCATCAACAGGTGAATGGGTAAACAAAATGTGGTATATACATAGAATGGAATATTATTCAGCTGTAAAGAGAAATGAAGTTCTGACACAGGCTGCAACCTGGATGAAATTTGAAAATGTTATATCGTATAAAATAATCCAGGCACAGAAGGGAAGATATTATATGGTTCTACTTATATGAGATATCTTGAATGGTCAAATGCATAGAGACCAAAGTATATTAGTGGTTATCAGGGGCTGGGGTGGGGATGGGGAGGAATGGGGAGTTATTGCTTAATGGGCATTGAGTTTCTGCTTAGGGTGATGAAAAAGTTTTGGAAGTAGATAGTGGTCACCCATCCCCTCTGAGTGTTACGAGTTCTTTTTCTTATTTTTTGAGCCAAAACACGAGAGCTTCTCCTGGAGCTTTCTTTGTGCCCTGCTGTCCACTTCTGGTTTTCGAGAAGCTTTAAGTCCAGGCCAGGGGACAACAGAAGAAAAATGGTAATCTCACCACCAATTCAGTGGTGCTCAAATTCTGATCTTGCCCAATCCACCAGCTAGTTTAGTTTTTAGAGTTCAGATATCTGCTGCTTGCATTCTGTCCAGGTTTTAAATCTACATTCAGAGGGAGAGACAAAACAAACAACAAACTTGTTGCTATCATGTCGATTCCAACGCACAGCGACCCCTATAGGACAGAATAGAACAGAATAGAACTGCCCCATAGGGTTTCCAGAGAGCGGGTGGTGGATTTGAACTGCTGACTTTGGTTAGCAGTCAAGCTCTTAACCATTGCGCCACTAAGTCTCCAGAGGTAGACACAGGTGGATGCTAACTCCATCATGGCTGGAATCATTTCTCAGTTTGTTTTTAAATTTTTTTAGAGTCTGAATTTTTTCTTGTTTCTTAAAGCTTTCTTTAAAAACTACACATCTTCATTGTAGAAAACTTGGAAAATAAAGGCAAAGGAAAGGAAGGTAGCTAAAATCTTTGGTAAACTCATGAACTTAAAGATAACTGGTGATTTTGTGTATAGTTCTTTTTTATTGCATATATGTATTTTTTTTCTATTTTAACAGTAAAAAGTCATTAGATAATAAATAAAAGCCTATTGTTAATTATTTTAACCAGTCTTAAAGACCCAGTTACTATTGATTTGATCAAATGTTGTTTTTACTAAATCTTTTCTTTTCATAAATAGGTGGAAAGTCTTTATCCTCAAACTGGCTGGGTTGAAATTGATCCTGATGTTCTCTGGGTTCAATTTGTTGCTGTAATCAAAGAAGCTGTCAAAGGTAATTGGATTTGTAAAAATAAAAATAGTCCCTAAAGTATCTTTTGTGTGTTGTAGGAGTGTTCCTCAGGCTTCTGTACTATTTTGTGGTTTTCCTAAGTTATAATTGTATAGATAGTATTTTATTGGGGTCACTGTTTCCTAGTATTTTTCAGGAGATATTTGTGGTTTATGGTGAACCATTGTGTTGGGGTAGGCAATAGCAACTGTGTCCTCTGGTTTAAGTTTTTTTTTCCTAGCTACAATATAAAGGCTCACCCTTCTTCATTCTAGGTTCTAACAAGTTCTGATTTGATTTCCTGTTTTGTACAAAATAGCAGAGTGCTGTAAACAAAGTTACAGTGCACAATTCCTGCTCTCATGAGTTGACAACTGAGTTGTCTTCCTTGTAAAAGAAGTTTTTGTTTGTGTGGGCACTTGATGTAAAATGCCCTCCTGGCCACAGCTATGGTCTACCATTTTAGCTCTTTAAGGACATTTTTAAAGATGACTTGGTAAACGTAAATTGTAAAACAACTTTTGCTTCACTTTTCTGGCTGAGTTGCTTCTCCTCCTTACCTTTTTGTTTTGAAATATTTCAAAATCAATTTTTTAAAAGTTGCAAAAGTTGTACAGTGAAATAGATTCAAATGTGTTTTTGCAATGTTTACCATTCTCAACAAATTATTTATTTTTGACTGAACCATTGAGAGTTACTTGTAGACGTTGTAACATTTACCCCTAAATACTTCAGCTTTGTTTAGAAAGAAAAAGGGTATTCTCCTACATAACCACAATGCAATGTTTATACTCAGGAAATTTAACATTAATGCAATACTGTTTTCTCATATTCAGTCTTCAGTATTCTCTTCTTGTATTGACGTCATTAATAGTTAATTTTTTTTCTAATCCGGGTTCAAATCAAAGATGAGGTATTGCATTTAACTGTCAGTCTGCTTAGTCTTCTTTAATCTAGAACATGTTCTTTATAACATTGACAGTTTTCAAAAGTACAGGCCACCTTAGTAGATTGCCCCTGAGTTTGGGCTTGTCATATTGCTTCTTATGATTAGATTCAGGTTAAACATTTTTGGAAGGAGTCCTGTGCACATGATGATGTCTCTTCCTCAGTGCTCAAATCAAAGTCCCTAATTTACCCAGTAGGATAAACTGCTTTTCAAAAGAATATCACAAAAAAGCACTCAAATTGATGTCGTGTTAAAAAAAAAGGGGGGGGGGAGGTTTTGGGAGGGACATGTTTATATTTGCATTCTAGTTTGTGTGGAAAATAAGATCTCAGCTTCAATAATTATGCTACTTTCCCTGAGGATTTTCCTTTATTGCCATCAACCAACTTCTAGTATGATTGATGCTTAAATTAGGATCCAATTTCTTACAATTATCAAGAACAAAATGCAGTCTGACTTATTTTGAGTAGTGATTGCTTGTTCTTTTCTCCCATTTCAAGTAAGAAGGCCATTTTATTATCATTAGAATATGATCTTTTTTCCTTGAATAATTTTAAAAAACTACAAAATCATGTTAACAGTACTTTACTGGCTCCAATTGTTTTATTAAAATATTAAACCCAGATGTTTTTCTTAAAGATTATATTGAATGATTTCTTTTCCACATTGTAATATTGTAAAGAATGTGTCACTGATTTTTTTTCCTAAATTTTATTTATTTCGTTGTTGAGAATATACACAGCAAAACATACACCGATTTAACAGTTTCTACATGTACAATTTAGTGACATTGATTACATTCTTTGAATTGTGCAATCATTCTCACCCTCCTTTTCTGGTTGTTCCTCTCTCATTAACATGAACTCACTGCTCTCTAAGGTTCCTCTCTAATCTTTCGAGTTGCTGTTCTCAATTTAATTCCATATAGATAGCTCTTAAAAGAGCATAATGCTCAGAAAATAACAAATGTTGGCGAAGATGTAGGGAGATTGGAACTCTTATCCATTGCTGGTAGGAATGCAAAATGGTACAGCCATTGTGGAAAACTGTGTGGCGGTTCCTCAAAAAAACGGAAAATAGAGCTACCATATGACCCAGCAATTCCACTTCTCAGTATATACCCAAAAGACTTGAAAGCAGAGACTCAAACTGAGACTTGTACACCAGTGTTCATTGCAGCACTATTCACCATAGCCAAAAGGTGGAAACGGTCTAAATGCCCATCGACAAATGAATGGATAAACAAAATATGGTACATACATACAAAGGAGTACTACTCAGCCAGTAGGAGAAATGAAGTCTTGATACATGCTACAGTATGGATGGAGCTTGAAGACATTATACTGGGTGAAATAAGTCGATCACAAAAGCGTAAATATTATATGACCTCACTTACATAAAAAGACAAGAGAAGGCAAATGTAAAAAAAAATATTAAAGAGTATAATGCTCAAGAAGATGTTCTTTACTAGTTAAGGTAAACTATTGCTTGGTTCTAAGAAGACTTCGTGGGATATTTTTGGTTTAAGGTTTAAAGATGATCTCAGTTGTCACTGACTTTTAAATACATGTTTTATGTATCTTTACTTTTAGCTGCAGGAATAGAGATGAATCAAATTCTTAGCCTTGGCATTTCAACACAGAGAGCAACGTTTATTACATGGAACAAGTAAGTGCATTGTGTGGTAAGCACTCTCTTGATGGGTTCATGCCACAGTGAATACACTGCTATGAAACCTGTTTGGGGTGTTTTATGTTTGAATTAACAGTTTTGCTTGTTAAGAGGGATGAAGGTGAACCTGCTTTCTGGCTTATTAAAACATGCTCTCTGCATGTCATCTGGGCTTGACTTATTTAAAACAACAACAGTAAAGACTGTTGCTGTCATTAAAATTCTTCACTCCTTTTCTTTTTTTTTGCAGTAAGTTAGCTTTTTCTAATAAGCATGGATTGAAGATGTAAAAAGTAGCTTAAAATAAGGGAATCAGAGGAACCAGCGAATTACAGACACTCAATACTATGCTTATGCTTTGTATTTTCAATTTATTCCAAATTTAATATTTAAATGTCTATAGCTTGAGGCATGTTATAGATTAAAAACAATTATAATATCATAATAGCTATGTAGTGAACACCTGTGATATTCTAGGCACTGTTGTATGTTCCACTGTCCTTACAATAAAGCTGTTATTTAGATATTATGTCTATTTTTTACAGAGAAAGAAACTGAGGCTCGGAGAAATACATAAATTGCATAAGGTCACTCAGTACTTAGAACCAAGATGACAAATCACCTTTTGACCCCAAAGTGTAGGCTCTTTCCACTACCCTCTTATTGTCTTCAACATGTGTTTCTTGCTTTAAAAAAAAAAAAACAAAACACCTTTAAGATCTATCTGTGTTATAAAGCTCTAGACTCCAAAGTACATCTTGAACTTGGAGTAGTGGAGGAGAAAATTGGTGGGTGGACAGGGTAGGAATGAATCTGAGAAATACAATCAGGGTAAATTCACACAGACACAGACTTGGCCTTTAATTCAGTATTAGGCAAGAAGAAATTTGAATTAACCAATATTTTTGGTGTTATGTTTGGGAAGATATGATAGAAATTACAGAACAGAATCAATACATATATATCTCTTAGTTATCTGGTATCTTTGTAACAGAAATACTGCAAGTGGGTGGCTTTAACAAGTCAAAATTTATTGTCTCCCAGTTTAGGACGCTAGAAGTCCAAATTCAGAGTGCCAGATCTAGGGAAAGGCTTTCTCTCTCTGTCAGTTCTGGAGGAAGGTCCTTATCTCTTCAATTTCTGCTTCCTGGTTCCTTGGGGATCTCCATATGTCTTGGCATTTATCTTACCCCATCTCTCCTTTTCTTGCCTGTTTAATCTCTTTTATGTCTCAGAAGAGATTGACTCAAGGTACACTCTACAGTAATCCAGCCTCATTAACATAACAAAGACAACTCATTCCCAGATGGCATTAAAACCACAGGCATAGAGGTTAGGATTTACAGCACATTTTTTGGGGGACATAATTCGATCCATAACATTCCACCTTTTGGCCCCAAAAAATTCATGTCCTTGCCACATGCAAAACACATTCACCCCATCCCATCATCCTAAAAGTCTTCAATCAACTCCACATTCCAAATCTCATCTCTGAATCATCTAAATCAAATGTGGATGAGACATTAGGCATATTCCATCCTGGGGCAAAGTTACTTTTTATCTATGAACCTGTGAAATCTAAAATACAGGTTATCTATTTCCAAAGTACAGTGATGGATCATTTCTGTTACAAGTGGAGAAATTGGAGGGAAAGAAGGGTTAATGAGCACCAAGCAAGTCCAAAAACCAGCAGAGCAATTTTAAATTAGCTCTCAAGGCTTGAAAATAATCCTCTGTTCTCTGGGATCATTTGGGCAATGGCCCTGCCCTCCAGACTCTGGGTGTTAGCCATGCCCTCTGGATTCTAGGTGGAGGCCCCTTAGCCCTGGGCTTTGGCTTTGCCTCTTAGGTCCACTGGAGTGGCAACTCTGCTCCCTCAGCTTTGGACAGCTCCATTCTCGTAGTTCATCTGAGTGGTGAAACCACCCCCTTGGCCCCGGCAGGCCCCATTTTTCTACCCCTTCGGCATGGCAGCTGCACCCCTTCAGCTTTGGGCAGCAGCCCCATCCCCCTGGCACACCTTAATGGCAGCGCTACACTCCAGAACGAAGTTGGTGAAGATTTGAAACCTAGGACACTGTGGCCCTACCCTTTGAGATCCCAGAGACATGGCCCCACCCTTTGAAACTGAGAAAGCTTTGCTTTCTTTGCTTCTTCCAGCAGTTCTGCTGATCTCCCAGCTGCTCCAGGGACATCCTTTTCTTTTCTCAAAGGACAACAGATGTAGCTCCTTTGTTTCCTGCCTGTAGAATTCCAAGAGGCAGACAGCATTTTTTCCTTGTGTTCTTTCTCTGTCCCCTTCAGTCTAAGCTGATGGGTTTTCTGCTGTGGTAATTGGTTAAATCCATCAGTCACAGGCTTAATCTCTTTAACAAAAGATTATGTAGTCACATCCTTGGTGAACATTCTAGGAAACCTGTCCTTAGTTTGTACAAAAGAATTTTCCAAATCTTTAAACTCTGGTTTCATTTTGCATGGTTCATTTTTAATCCATTTCTTTCCTCTTGCACTTTATTATAAGCACCAAGGAGAAACCACACGGCCACTTTAAGATCTTGCTTAGAAATCTCATCAGCCAGATATCCAAGTTCATCACTTATAAGTTCTACTTTCCACCAAATATTTGAACATAATTCAGGCAAGCTCTTTGTCACTACATAAAAAGCATTTTCCTTCCTCCATTGTCCAATTACATGTTCATCATTTTCTTTTAAAGCCTCACCAGAAGCACATTTAACATCCACATTTCCAGCAACGTTCTGTTGCTGGCGCCATATGTATTCTCTAAGATGACAGAGACTTTCTCTTTATCTGTCCTCACTTCCTTCTGAGCCCTCACCAGAATTGCCTTTGACATCGATAATTCTACCAATGGTCTCTTCAAAGCAATCTAGGCTTTTACCATTTGGCATATATGTGTATATTTGTGTATGTATATATACATATATATATATACATATACATATATATATATATATGAATCCTAATGGTGCAGTGGTTAAAGTGCTCGGCTGCGAACCAAAAGTTTAGCAGTTTGAAACTACCAGCCACTCAATGGGAGAAAGATGTGACAGTCTGCTTCCATAAAGATTACAGCCTTAGAAACCTTATGGGGCAGTTCTACTCTAGTCACTATGAGTCGGAATCAACTTGAAGGCTATGGGTTTATATGTATATAGATAGATAATACATATATATGTATATGTATATAAATACATATATATGTATGTATATATGACTTATTTTAAATAATTAACTCATGTAATATGGAGGCTGGCAAGTCTGAAATTTTGGGGCAGACTGGCAGGCTGGAAATCAGACAAGAATTGAAATTGCAGACTTGAGTCAGAAATCTATAGAGCAGGCCTGCAGACTGGAAACTCAGGCAGGATTTCTGTTACAGTTTTGAGATAGAATTCCTTCTCCCTCAGGAAACCTCAGTTTTTGCTCTTAAGGCTTTCAACTGATTGGATGGGGACTGCCCACAGTAGCAACCGTAATCTACAAAATACCTTCATAGCAGTATCTTGCCTAGTGTTTGACCAAACGGTGGCACAATAGCCTAGCCAAACTGATACGTAATAACTATCACAGGGGTAGAAGGGATGAAGTTTTTGGTTTTGGATATGTGAATGTAGAGCTATCCCAAAGGTGGTTAGAACATTGGTCTAGTCTGCATTGAGGCATGGCTTATCTCCTCTAGAGATAATGCATAGAGTATTATCATATAGAGTACCTGTCTAGAGGATATAATGCATAGGGCATAATGCATCTCAGATTGATGCATCCATCTGGAAACACCCCCCTCTGCCCATACCTCCCCTCCAAGTCCCCTTGGACCAGTAGGTCTTAAATAGGTAATATATTTGTCAGATGAAGGAATAAAGTCATCTGAGTAGATCAGGATTTCTAAAGAGTAATACTATTGATATTTGGGCAGGATAATTGTTTTGGGGGGCTGTCCTGGGCATTGTAGGATGTTTAGCAGCATCCCTGATCTCTACCTGCTAGATATTAGTAGCATTCTCTCAGTTGTGGCAACCAAAAATGTCTCCAGACATTGCCAAATGTCCCCTCAGTGTCAAAATCACCCCCAGTTGAGAACCACTGGTATAGATGAAGCCTAGAGAAGTGTTTGTGTACTGTGTAGAAAAGAGAAGAAAGCTGAGGATTGGACTCTGAGGTTTTTTTCCTAAATTTTAAGGGAAATCAGGGAAGAACAAGCTGACAAAGGAGGGCCAAGGCCAATCTGGAAAGTGGATGGTATGGAGGTGGAGGCAGGAGAACGTTCCTATGAAAGGAATTGATTGGAATTGTCACATTTGGTTGGATTTGGAGATGAGGTCATTGGCCACAGAGATTGCTTTCATCAGGAGCTGGCTACCATATTACTCACTTATCACCAAAAAAATGAAAGCTAGTTGCTGTCAAGTCGTCTCCAACTCATGATGACTCCATGTGTATCAGAATAGAACTGTGCTCCACAGGGTTTTCAAAGGCTGATTTTTTGTAAGTTGATCACCAGGCCTTTCTTCCAAGCCACCTCTGGGTGGACTCAAACCTCCAACCTTTCGGTTAGCATCCATGTGCATTAACCATTTGCATCACCTGGGGACTTCTCACTCATCACAGGAAGGTCAATTATTAGGAAGTAAAGTTTTTGTGCGGCATTAGGGTCATACCTCCCATTTAGGAGAAATAGGAGCATCAGATTCCAAGACAGTTCAGTCCCATACTGGTGATGGTGTTGTAGTAAGGGAAGGATATGATTTCTCCTCAAGACAGTTACACTCTTTCCTGTCTTATCGACATGGTTAGGTTCCAAAAACCAGGTGGTTATGTGAAATCGGCATTTTGTGAAAATGGAGGGTGACCGCATCAGATCACAAAATGGAGGATGACTGCATCATTACATAACTGCCAGATTACATCATTACATAAGTACCAAACCACTGAGAATCATGGCCCAGCCAAGTTGACACATAACCTAAATCATCACAGCCAATGTTACTCTCGCCTTGCACCTTGGAATTCGTTACTACCAGACATAAGTCGTTGATGTGCAAATTAGTCGTATAGTAGATTTTTTACTATTGTCGTAAATGTGAAATGTTGGATAAAGAGATAGTAAGTGAGGAGAAGATGTAACTGTGAGTTTACTTTCTTGGCTGTTCTTTTTTGTATTTTTGGAATGACTGTGTTTTCACGCGTTTTGGAATCTCTCTTTGCTGGTAGAAACTGAGATACCAGATATTTTCTGGAAAAAACACAAGTGTTCATGCTTCTTTTACTTTAAAATAATGGAGGTTTACTCTGCTCACTGGGCCCCCGCGAGCTTCTGTGGTGTATAAGGCTGGCAGATTCTACAGGCTCCCCAGCAATCAGCTGAAACACAATGCAGAAGCGGGCACAACTCTGAGCCAGCAGGAAGTCCCTCTTGCTCGTGTTTGAGAGAAAGACAGAGACAGACCAGACCCTGTGGAACAATCTGTTCATTCTGGTCCCAGCCAGCACCTCCTCTTCCCAGCTCACTGGTTTTTCCTCCTGGGTCCATGGTACATTTCTGTCATTGTGGCCGTTGGAGCATTATTTCTCTTACAGTTGCTGTCAGAAAGTCTAAAATGTTGAACTTTCTTTTTGTAATTGGCCTTTCTTCCCCTCCCCGCTCAGTTTTTAGGAACTCTTTGCAGTCATTGAGTTTTCTTCATGTTCTTAGGTTTATTTTTTTTTCCAGTATATTTAATTAGTGGTACATTTAGCCTGTTTTCCAAAATCACTCTAAATGATATTGCCCCTAATTTGGTTATTTTTAAGTCTTTTTTGTTCTAAAAAATCATGAGCTGTTTTGTTTCTTCAGTCACTCTGTCTCTCAGGAAGTTTTCTGCCAACTAACCTCCGATCAGGGCGTGTGCATGGTTAGCAGCGTAAATGAGCTATGAGTCACGAGTACAGGCTTCACTCAGTAACTGTTTAAGGGCTTGTAAGGAGGGAGGCACTGTGCAGGTTGCTGATCTGAATATAAAGACATAAAAGTACCAGCCCACAAGGAATTTTCAGTCTCATAATACAAGTATATGAATCACTGTCTGTTCCCACAGCACCGAATATATCTTTTATTGTACCATGGTGCTTACTGATTTATGACATAAAACATGTTAATAGTCACAAGAATGGTGTAAAGTGTTAGAGGCATTCAAGACAATTCATTTACAGTATTGCTCCTCCCCCACATCTCCTTTTATTTTTGACAGAGGTGCAATAAACCTAAATCAGTGCTAAGCGGATATTGGAATGTATGCTACTAGTTGAGATCAGGGTTCTAGATTGCCTTCTACCATGTTATGAATTAATGAAGTCACTTTCTTCTTGTGATCTTCTCCCCCTCTTTGTTCTTCAGCTGTACTAGCCTTTCAGTTCCTCTAACACATCATGCTTGTTCCTGTCTGAGGGCCTCTGAGAAGATAGTACATCTTGTCAGGAATATTCACCCTCCTTGTTAATTCCTATTCAACCTTCAAAGCCTGGTTCCAGTGTCATTTCTTAAAGAAGTCTTCCCTGACCCCAGATTAGGCAGGGTCCCCCTGTTAAATACACTCATGGCTCTCGTATTTCTCCTTCATAGAGCTTGTTCCTGTTGTAATTAAGTAATTGAGTAATTGTTTATTTGACTTCCCTGGTATGGATATATTTATAGGGGCAAAGATCCCATGTCTCTCTGTTCACAGCTGTGTCCCCAGCTCCTGGCACAAATTTGTTTATAAATCTTTGCTGAATCAGTTATTGAAAATCAGATTTTTCAGTGTATAGGTGCTGTTATAGAAAGTCTCCCAAGAAGCATGTATTACTAGATTTCATTTCTGTCAAACAGTCTGGTAGTCCTTGTTGGTAGTGCAGCATTTCTTCATTTGTCAAATACCTCTTTAGTGTCTGGGCTAGGTGGTAAGAATCTGAATGTGAATAGGCTATGCCCTTAGGAAGCTCACGGTCCAGATGTGTATTCTGATAGGCTTCTGCCCTGTGGTTTTATACCTGGTGGTGAGAGGGTAGATGAAGGAGCCTGGCTGGACCGGAAGGGGGAGTTCGGGAAGATTTCACAGGTCTCTTGAGCCAAGTCTTGAAGGATGAGTAGGAGTTTGCTAAGTGGGAAGAGCAAATCACTGGTAAAGGCCAGAGGATATAAAAACATGGTGTTGCTAAAGCATCGAAAGTACTTTGAAATTCAAGGGATGAAATAAGGAAGGCCCATGGCCCAAGTGCTCAGAAGACAGTGACCACGGTAGTGGATGTGGTAGTGAATGTGAGTGACTGGGAATCTAAATTGCATTCAGATTGCATTTGGCTGAGGCCATGGGAGGTGAAGAGGAGACATTGAGGAGGGGGTTAGCTAGACTGGTGGGGAACATCCTGGATCAAAAGCGATGTTGTTGGTTCGTCTTCAAAGATAGGGAAATTTAAGTATGTTTGGAGAAGAGGGTGGAAGGAATATTTGATGAAATGAGGTGATGAAAAACTAGAAAGCATAGATATAGAGAGTACAGGAGGAGACTCCAGCCTTGAATTGGAGAGGATGAGTTTTTCCTGTGAACCAAGGGAGAGATATGCAGGGTCGCCACAGGTATAGCTAGTGAAGGAGTGGGGAGTTGAGGAAGGTCATTCCCTATGCTCTTACCTCCTTTAAGCAATAGGAGGCCAGAAGTGACCTAGGACTTCAGAAGCCTGGTGAAGCTTTGGGTTGGCCATTGTGGGAAATGGAGAGGGAAGTTATGAGAGACAGGAGGAAGGCTTTTATCTTTTTAAATGACCTTGAGAATGCAGGTAAGGTTGTGCTCCATAGATACTGATTGGTACCAGTTCACAGGCTGAATGACTTTTCTCCAGCCCCTCTCATTGGCCCTGGCATTGAGGGTGGAGAGAGTAGAGAGTTAGATCAATCCAGGGATAGGTGCTTAAAAGCGTGGCTACCAAACCAAAACCCACTGCCTTCAAGTCTATTCTGATTCATAGCAACCCTATAGGACAGTGTAGAACTGCCCCCATAGAGTTTCCAAGGCTGTAATCTTTATGGAAGCAGACTGCTACATCTTTCTTCCCCAGAGCTGCTGATGGGTTCGAACCACTGACTTTTTGGTTAGCTGCCAAGTACTGTAACCACTGTGCCACCAGGGCTCCTTAAAAACGTGTCTAGTTAGGTTGAAAGTCAAGGGGTAGATAGTATGAAGGCAAGTTACTCATTAAAGTGATGACTCATGGGGTCTAGGAAAGTAAGTAAGCCTAAGAGGGGTTGGTAGGAAGAAATCAGAAAGTTTGAGGGATTAAAGGGTGCAGTGAGGTCAAAAGGCAGCTATTTGAAATGACAGTTTGGCCTGAAATTTTGTTTTCTTTTGTGGCAGATCATAATTTTTTATTATCTCAAAATACTGTTGTCATCTTTCTTAGGAAAACGGGAAATCATTTTCACAACTTCATAAGCTGGCAAGACCTAAGAGCTACTGACCTTGTAAAATCTTGGAATAGTTCTCTTATAATTAAGGTATTCTTTTTCTTATCTTCTGTGATTTGGGTATTATTGTTTTTCCTCTAAATGTCTCTTAACTGTACCCTAATTGTACACTTTTCTACTTATGTTGCTTTAGGACTTTAAGAAGAAAATACATGCACACACACACAAATACTACCTACACCAGTGAAATTTAGTAATAGTCACCCAAAGCATATGTGGTAGACTTAAATCTTTAACAACTACACTTCAGGAAGTCCTGAGGAGGTTTGGAGGTGGGCCAGAATGTCACATGTTAGTAAAAATTCATGTTTCTGGCCTTGAGAAATAGAAAAGATACAGACCAGATAGAATGAAATGTCTAACTTCCATCATCTTTTGTTATAAAAACAACCAAACTTTATTGAAGCAAGCTATAAAAATTACACTTCCCAAGCAGAATTCATACATTTAGGAGCTAAAGTTACGAGGAAAAGATTAAAGTTTATTTGGTCTTCCTGTCATTCATACAAGGACTTAATTCAAGTAGCCTAATCTAATTCAAAATTAATAGGATCTCAATTATTGAGATCATCATGTCTGAAAAACCATATTACTTCTATGAAGAAAGAATTTGCAAAAAAAAGGATTGCATGAATCAGGCTTAAAATAGTTAAGGACAAGTTCTGATAAATATGCCTTAATAATGCCATTCTTAGAAACTTTAAAAACAAATAGAAAAGAACTCAATTTCATCATTGTAACAAATTGGGATTTTAATTTCCATGAGTTTATCAACTATGTTCATCTCTTTGGCTTATCCTTTGCTCATTAAATGTGTTACTATAATTGTAATTATAATGTGGGTGTATACATAGACTTTTATTTTCTACCTTGCTCATTTAACATATGAAAATTTACTATATTTAATAAAATGTAGAATTGTGCTCTTAGTGGGTGCACAATATACTATAGAGTTTACTTGCTATCATTCACATAACTGATCTTTTTATGGGTGTCTAGGTTTACTTCTTAAGTTTTTTGTTACATGCTATGATGAATAACTTTTATTTTTGTAACTGTTCTTCCCATCTATAAAGTGAGAATACTCTCTGCTTCATGGGGCTGTTGGGAGATTGAAATGAGGCAATGTATGTAATCTCTGTATCAGTTAGAATTAGTTGTGACTGTGTTTAACAGAGACCTGACTCTGTTGACTCAGGCACACAGAAATTTCTTTGCCTCTCTAAAAATGCAGATTGGGCCATCTGGCGGCTCTGTGAAGTCCTCAGGAGCCCAGGCTTCTTCCAGCTCACCATTCCTAGGTTGTGACTTTTGTCCTCATGACCTGTTGTTAGGTGCCATCGAGTCGGTTCTGACTCATCGTGACCCTGTGTACAACAGAACGAAACACTGCTTGGTCCTGTGCCATCCTCACAGTCATTGCTGTGTTTGAGCCCATTGTTGCAGCCACTGTGTCAGTCCATCTCATTGAAGGTCTTCCTCTTTATCGTTGACCTTCTACTTTACCAAGCATGATGTCCTTTTCCAGGGATTGGTCCCTCCTGGTAACATGTCTTAGGTACATGAGAGCCACAATCAATGCCCATGAACGCAGCAGTCAGGAAATCAAATGATGAATTTCATTGGGCAAATCAGCTGCAAAAGATCTCTTTAAAGTGTTAAAAAGCAGAAATGTCACCTTGAAGACTAAAATGCACCTGACCCAAGCCATGATATTTTCAGTTGTTTCATATGCACGCAAAAGCTGGACAGTGAATAAGGAAGAGTGAAGAATTGATGCGTTTGAATTATGGTGTTGGCAAAGAATATTGAAGATACCATGGACTGCCTCATGGCCTAGATGACACCAAACATGTTCCCAGGACAGAGGAAATGAGGAATGGGACACTCCCAGCCTTTTAAGGCGATGTCCTGGAGCTGCCTTGCACATGCTTCTGCTTACATCTCAATGATCAATACCTGATCCCGTGGCCACAATGAAGGAACCCTGGCGTGGCACAACGGTTAAGTGCTTGGTTACTCGGCTACTAACTGAAAGGTTGGTAGTAGAAATCCATCAGCAGCTTTGTGGGAGAAAAGACCTGGTGATCTGCTCCCATAGATATTACAGCCTAGAAAACCCTCTGTCATATAGGGTCGCTATGAGTCGAAATTGACTCAATGGCACACAACAACAACAACATCGCCACAGTAGATGCAGGGGAGGCTGGGAAGTGTAGTTTCGTATCTGGCAGCAGTGTGTACCCAGTTAAAAGTTAGGGTTCTCTTATTTTTTTTTAAAAAAAAAGGAGAGAATGGATATTGGGATAGTGGAATAAATAATAAATAACTAGCCGGCTGTCACAAGCACTTAACATGGTGCTTAGTACATAGTAAGCCATCAGTAAATGACAATAATGATGATGATGACGGTGACATCAGCAACAGCATCAACATTAGCTGCTGTTGCTTCTGTTAGGTCATTTTCCCCAAATCTCCCTTACTCCTAAGAGTGAGATTAAACTGAGACAAAGGGTAAGATAATTTTCCAACTCCTCAAATGTAGCCAAACCGGCAACATCTGATACAATGTATAGTATTGAATTATTTTAATACTTCACTAAGTTATTATTTTAATACTTCACAACTGAATGCTGTCTCAGTTTCCTAATGCTGCTGTAACAGAAACACCACAAGTGGGTGGCTTTAAAGAGAGAAATTTATTTTCTCACAGTTCTGGAGGTTAAAAGTCCAAATCAGGGTCTCGGCTGTTTTGATTCCTTCCTTGTCAGCAGCCCTGGACCTTCCTTGGTTCCTTGGTGATCCTCACCTGGTATCTGTATTCCCCTGTGTGTGTGTGCCTCTGTGTCTAATCTGCTCTTTTTATAACTCAAAAGTGATTAGGTTTAAAACACACCCTACGCTGATACAGCCTTGTTAACATAACAAAGAAAACCTTATTTCCAAACATGATCGCTTCCACAGGAATAAGGTTTAGGATTCCAACAGATATTTTGGGGGAACACAATTCAGTCCATAACAAATACCTTCTCATCTAGGGTGCTTGCACCAGATGGTGTATGGAGGAGTGTCTGGAACATCAATTTTATTTGATAAATGTTCAGAGACATTAACTTTACATGAAAGCAAACATGAATATATTATAGACATGTGAGTGAAACGATTTGTCATAATCTCACCGGCATTGGTTTCTCTTTTGTTAGTTTGCTATATAAAATGCACCTCGCTTTAATAACTGGTAGGGTTGAATATTGAGAGGTGCTTTTTAAAGCGAAGAGACATTTATTAAAGGATCTGAAAATGGTTATAAGAAAATGTCAGGAACCCTAACAAGTCAATTCAGCAAACATTCCTTAAGTCTATTAGTGAGATGTTTAAAATTTTTACTCCTTTGAAAATAAAATGTGTCCATGAAAACATTTACTTACATAGCATAAGCCCCAAATCTCAAATCTTGTAAAACTATGGGCAAAAAAAAAAAAAGAGCATTTGAAGAACTTTGTCTACTTGATACTGAACATGTATATTATGGAAGTTTGACTCCTTTTTGCAGAAAAATGCAGTCTCTTTCAGTGTTAGCACATACAAGTCCAGGACCTGTCCTACTGGTGAAGGAGCTCCATCCTGCAGCTGTCCCTTCCCAAGTGCTAGCTGTTTATCTCTTGAGGCTCTTGGAAATGTTTAGTGTGTATGTGTTGGAGCCGGCACCAAGGTCATTGGTTTAGCCAAGGCTGGCACCAGGCAAGATGGTGAAGTAGTTGGGGTGTGTTGGCAATCTCCTGTGCCATTGTTTTCCTCCAGTCTACCTAGAATAAAATCTCAATTCCTTGCTATGCTCTGGCCCTATCTATGGCTCTGATCACTTCTCAAACCCCTTTCTCCCTGGTGTCACTAAGTAAGCTATAGCCTTGCCAGCCTGCTTTTGTCGTTATGGCACCCACGCCCTTTCTCACCTTAAGGCCCTCGTATGTGCGAGCATTCCCTCTGCCATAATGGCTGGATCCTTCTCATCCTTCAAGGCCCAGCTCACACAACAGGGAGCAATTTCCTGCCACCCTGTTTCTGAATTTCAAATTTTTATACCTGTTTTTAATAGACATTTCTATTAAGGTAATTGTAGATTCACATGCAGTTGTAAGAAACAGTACAGAGACACCCCTTGTACGCTTTGCACAGTTTCTCCCAGTGGTAGCATTTTGCAAAACTCTAGTAATGTGACAACCAGGATATTGGCATTGATACAATCCACAGATTTTACTCAGATTTCCCCAGGTTTACTTGTACTCATCTGTGTGTGTATGTATGTGTGTGTATTAACTGCTATCCAATTTTTCCATCTGTTTAGGATCAGGTAATCAAGACACTGAAGCCCTAATGGCACAGTGGTTAAGAACCTGGCTGCTAACCCAGAGGTCGGCAGTTTGAATCCACTAGCTGCTCCTTGGAAACCCTATGAGGTAGTTCTACTCTGTCCTATAGGGTCACTATGAGTCAGAATCGACTCGGCAGCAATGAGTTTGGTTTGTTTGTTTGTGTTTTTTGGTTTTTGTGTTGCCCATTTATAACCACATCCACCTCTCTCCTGTGCACCCTCTTCCCTCTCATATCCCTAGCTCCTGACAACCACTAATCCATCCTTTATGTAAAACAGTTTGTCATATGAAAACTGTCATCATACAGTATGTAGCCTTTTGGGACTGGGTTTTTCATCCACCTTGTTATGTGTACCTGTGGATGGTTCGTTTTTAATGCTGAGTAGTGTTCAGTGGCACAATGTATCACAGTTCATTTAACCATTCACCTATTGAGGGGTGGCTGTGCTAATTCCAATTTTGGGCCATTACAAATAATGCTGCTATGAATGTTCTGTACCACTTTTTCCGTGAACATAAGTTTGAATTTCTCTGAGATGAATGCCCAGGAGTGCAATTACTGAGTCATACAGTAATTACCTGGTTAGTTGTATAAGAAGCTGCCAAACTTACCAGAGTAACTGCACCATTTTACATTCCTGCCAGCAATGGATGAGTGATAAGGTGTACGTTTTTTAATATTTTGACACCTCCGAAATCAGGATGCATTTTTAACCAATTATGTCTTAGCATTATGTCATAATTAGCAGCATTTTTTTCCTTCTTGATCATACATTAAATGGTGGTTCATTTTATACTGTCTTGTTAGATTAACATATTTATGGATTTGATTACTTATTTGTCTGTGTCTCCCCACTAGAGTATAAATTCCAAGAAGGCAGAGGTTTTGCCTGTGTTATTCACTCTGTTTCCATCAGGCCTAGTATAGCTCGGTATGTAGAAGGTGCTCAATAAATGTTTGTTAAGTATATGAAGGAAGGTATTGATTGTTCAAAGCCCTAGTGGCGTAGTGAGTAAGAGCTTGGCTGCTAACCAGAAGGTCAGAAGTTCATATCCACCAGCTGTTCCTTGGAAACCCTATGGGGCAGTTCTACTCTGTCCTGTAAGGTCGCTATGAGTAGGAATCGACTCACCGGCAACAGATTTGGTTTGGGTTTTGGGGTTGATTGTTCAGACATTAACTAAGGGTGTAGGTGTTAAAGCTCTTAATACTTCTGTGTGACCTCCTCTTTCCAAGGTATCTGAATTTTAACACAAGATCCCTGAAGGATCCAGAATCTACGTTTTTTAAGAGAAAGTTATAGTGTGTTTAAGGAGGGAGAACTCATTTCAGTTTACATCATTTCTTAAAGTATTATAATAGATCCAAAGAAGGATTATGAGCGGTCACTTTACTTAAAAACTCTTCAAAAGTCTTACATGTTAATAAATAATGTAAACCATACATTCCCTGTAAAATATAAAGAAATACAGAAGGTTTGACCACTGGACAAGGTGAAAGGAAGTGAAAAGAGTAAGACTGAAATGCAGAAAGAACTGAGTCTCCAGATTTTCCTGACTAATGTATTATCAGCTAGAAATAAAAGAGAAAGAAATTCGTGTCACTGTGTTTAACAGATAAACCACAATCTTTAAATTTATGTTTTTGGAGACTGGGAATAACAGAGGAAAAGGGCAAGAAGTGGGTAAGTTCTCCCTAGTGAGTGTTTTGTAAAACATCAGCTTCAGAAGTTGTGGTGTCCATTTCCATCCTGGGAGTGGGTGGCAGGATACGGTTTTTGTTGTTTTTGCTTTAGTATATCTTACAAATCTTAAAACTCAAAGCTGGTGTTCTTTGTAACTAAGGCTTTTTTTTTTAATTAAAGATTTTGCATATGAAGAAGTAGGTCTAAAACTGTATGTATGTTTCATCTTTGATTATTGGCTAAGTGTACCTGTTGCCACTGAGTTGATTCTGACTCATAGTGACCCTATACAACAGAGTAGAACTGCCCCATAGGGTTTCCAAGGCTGTAATCTTTACAGAAGCAGACTGCCACATGTTTCTCCCGAGCAGCAGCTGATGGAACCACCAGCGTTTTGGTTAGCAGTCAAGCACTTAACCACTGCACCACCAGGGCTCCTAAAGATAAGTATAGCAAAAAAAAAAAAAAAAAAAAAAAAAAACAAACCCAAACCTGTTGCTGTCAAGTCGATTCCAACTCATAGCGACCATATCAGGCAGAATAGAACCGCTGACCTTTCGGTTAGCAGCCGAGCACTTAACCACTGGGCCACCAGTGCTCCTTAAGATAACAACAAAAAGAAAACCAAACCCACTGCTGTCGAGTCAGTTCCGACTCATAGTGACCCCATAGGGTTTCCAAGGCTTTAAATCTCTATGGAAGCAGACTGTCACATCTTTCTCCCTCTGAAGTGCTGGTGGTTTCGAACTGCCAACCTTTCAGTTAGCAGCTGATCGCATTAACCCCTGCACCACCAGGGCTCCTAAGGTAAGTATAGGTAGTATTAAATAAAATAACAAAAAAAAAAAATTTTAAGTACTTAATGTATAGGGAAATTTCCTATTCTGGGTTAGTAGTAATTTAATTAAAAATATATTTCTAAAAAAACTACGTATTGCATGATTCCAACTACCTGACATTCTGGAAAAGGCAAAACTATAGAGAGAGTAAAAAGATTAGTGGTTACCAGGGACTCAGGGAGGTGAGAAAGGATGGATAGATGGAACACACAGCATTTTTAGGGCAGTGAAAATATTGTGCATGATATTGTAATGGTAGATACGTGACATCATGCCTGTACCCATAGCAGTGTACAACCCAAAAAGTGAAACCTAATGTAAACAATGAACTTTAGTTAATAATAATGTATCAATAATGGTTCATCAGTTGTAACAAATGTATCACATTAATGTAAGATATTAATCATAAGAGAAATTGTGTGCAGGGGGAAATGGGATATATGGGAACCCCCTATACTTTCTGCACATTTTTTCTGTAAACCTACAATTACTCTTAAAAGTAAAGTGTGTATATGTGTGTGTCTCTGTGTGTGTGTATGTATACTGTTTCTTAGGCACTTTGAAGCTAAGATGTAAGATTATGAATAACATAAAAATTTTGAAATATGAGCCTTCAAAATCAAAGAATAACCAACAGCTTTGAGTAGATGATATTACTGATATTACTGAATAGCAATGAAGTGAATTAATGCCACCCTGCTACTAAATATTTGTCTGTGAGGCCTACCATAAAATTTAAGCATATATATCCCAGTGAAATCAGAATGCTGCAAATATAGCCTCCTACCTTGACTGTCTTTCCTTACTTCCATCTTTAAAAATAGATGGAGGTAGAAAATAATTGTTATTTAAAAAGATTTTTGTAGTTATAAGTACCTTTATTTTAAAAAGATTCTTATCTTTTTATAAAAATATAAAAATCTTTTTAGAAAAAAGGTACTTATAAACTATAAAAATTTCCTTTGCTAAGTAAATCAGGAAGGGTGTGCATCAGGGTTGTATCCTTTCACCATACTTATTCAATCTGTATGCTGAGCAAATAATCCCAGAAGCTGGACTGTATGAAGAAGAATGCGACATCAGAATCTGAGGAAGACTCATTAACAACCTGCCATATGCAGATGACACAACCTTGCTCGGTGATGGTGAAGAGGACTTGAAGCACTTACTGTTGAAGATCAAAGGTTATGTAGTGTTTAGTATGGATTATACCTCAACATAAAGAAAGCAAAAATCCTCACAACTGGACCAATAAGCAACATCATGATAAACAGAGAAAACGTTGAAGTTGTCAAGGATTTCATTTTACTTGGATCCACAGTCAACACCCATGGAAGCAACAGTCAAGAAATCAAACAACGCATTGCATTGGGCAAATCTGCTGCAAAAGACCTCTTTAAAGTGTTAAAAAGCAAAGATATCACTTTGAGGACCAAGGTGCGCCTGACCCAAGCCATGGTATTTTCATTTGCCTCATATGCATGCGAAAGCTGGATGCTGAATCAAGAAGACTGAAGAAGAATTGATGTCTTTGAATTATGGTGTTGGCGAAGAATATTTAATATTCTACAGACTGCAAGAAAAGCGAACAAATCTATCTTGGAAGAAGTACGGCCACAGTGCTCCTTAGAAGCCAGGAAAGACTTCATCTCATGCACTCTGGACAGGTTATCAGGAGGGACCAGTCCCTGGAGAAGGACATCATGCTTAGTAAAATAGAAACCCAAAAAAACCAAACCCATTACTATCAAGTTGATTCTGACTCATAGAGACCCTAAAGGACAGAGTAGAACTGCCCCCATAGGGTTTCCAAGGAGCACCTGGTGGATTCGAACTGCCGACCTTTTGGTTAATAGCTGTAGCACTTAACCCGTACGCCACCAGAGTTTCCTAGTAAAGTAGAGAATCAGCAAAAAAGAATAAGACCCTCAAGGAGATGATTGACATAGTGGCTGCAACACCAGGCTCAAGCATGGCAAAGATTGTGAGGAATGGCACACCACCGGGCAGCATTTTGTTTTGTTGTATGTAGGTCGATATGAGTCGGAATCGACTCAGAGGCATTGGGTTTTGGGTTTAATCCAGGATGATCTTACCTTGAGATCCTTAACTTAATTACATCTAGCAAAGACCCTTTTTCCAGATAAGGTCATATTCACAGGCTCAGGGTGAACATATCTTTTAGGGGGCCACCATTCAACCCACAGTGGCAGTTAAATAACTTTTGTTTATTATTTTCTATGCATGTGTATAGAATTAATATAGAAACATCAAATACTATTAAATGCAATTTCCTAAAAGATCTTTTTTTTTTTAAATAGCTAATCCGTGGTTCCTGCCGACTGCTTCATTTTTTCACTAGAAGTAAACGACTCTTAGCAGCCAGTTTGTTCTCTTTCACAACGCAGCATGTTTCATTGAGGTTGGCCTGGGTTTTACAGAACCTGATGGAGGTAAGAAAAGTTTGTCTATGTTGAAACCAGATAAAAGACTATGGAGGAGAAAAAAATTCAATTGAATAAAGATAGTAATTTGATTATTTGAGGGAAAATTAAGTGCCTATCAGGCATAGAGATGGAAGACATGGCGTCTTTATATACTTTATTTTTTATTTTGAGTCATAACACCTATATAGAAAAGTGAGCAAAATTGGAAATGAACCATTTAGTGATATGTTGTAGCATAAGCGTCTGTATAAGAACACCTGGATCAACAACTAAAATACCCTCTGCACCCCCAGAGACCTCCGTTGTACCTGTCTTAGTTATCTAGTGATGCTGTAACAGAAATACCACACGTGAGTGGCTTTAACAAACAGGTTTATTTTCTCAGTTTAGGAGGCTAGAAGTCCAAATTCAGGATGCGAGCTCTAGGAGAAGGCTTACTCTCTCTGCTGGCTCTGAAGGAAGGTCCTTGTCTCTTCTGAGCTTCTGCTCCTGGGCGATCTTTATGTGGCTTGGCATCTCTCTTTTCCATCTCTGCTTCTCTCACTTGCTTGTTTAATCTCTTTTATATCTCAAAAGAGATTAACTCAAGATACACCATTCATTAATCCAGCCTTATTAACATAATAAAGACAACCCGTTTGCAAATGATTATAACCACAGACTAGGATTTACAACACATATTTTTGGTGGACACAATTCAATCCATAACATTTCACCCTTGGCCCACCAAAATTCCTGTCCTTGCCACATGCAAAACACATTCACCCCATCCCATCATCCTAAAAGTCTTCAATCAACTCCACATTCCAAATCTTATCTTCTGAATCATCTAAATCAAATGTGGATGAGACATTAGGCATATTCCATCCTGGGGCAAAGTTAGTCTTCATCTGTGGACCTGTGAAATCCAGAATACAAGTTATCTATTTCCAAAGTACAATGGTGGACCAGGCACAAGGCAGACATTTCTATTACACATGGAGAAATTGGAGGGAAAGAAGGGATAATGGGCACCAAGCAAGTCCAAAACCCAGCAGAACAATTTATATATATATAAATATATGTGGAGAGAGAGAGAGAGATTTATATCAAGGAAATGGCTCACATGGTTGTAGAGGCTGGAAAGTCCCAAGTCCATGGCTCAGGCTGGAGACTTCTCCTGACTCACATAGCTGCAGGTAAGCTGGCAGGCTGCTGTCTCACAGGCTGCAGAGGCTGACAGATCCCAAGATCAGCAGGTAAACTGCTAGCTGAGGTCCCAAGAACTGGAGATCAGATGAACAGGAGCCAGATGAAGGATCCAGAGTGAGCAAAAGCCCACGAGCTTTGCCAGGAAGTTCACATATATTGGATGTAGGTCACACTCCCAAGGAACCTCCCTTCCAACTGATTGGCTGCTCATATCAGATCTTATCTTGGAGGTGATTACATTATATCAGATCTCATCATGGAGGTGATTACATCATTACGTAGCTGCCAAACTACATCATAATTGCCAAGCCACAGAGAATCATGGCCTAGCCAAGTTAGCACACAACCTTAATCATGACTGCTCTCAAGGCTTGAAAATAATTGTCTGTTCTTTGGGACCCTCTGGGCAATGACCCTGCCTTCCAGACTCTGGGTGTTGGGCACGCCTTCTGGATTCTGGGTGGAGGCTCCTCAGCCCTGGGCTTCAGCTCTGCCTTCCAGGCTTACTGGAATGGCAACTCTGCTCCCTCGGCTTTGGACGACCCCACCCCCTGGGCTCTGGTAGGCCCCGTTCTTCTACCCCTTGGGGATGGCAGCCCCACCCCCTCAGCTTTGGGCGGCAGCCCCATGCCCCTGACACTCGTGAACAGCAGCCCCACACTCTGGAATTGAGTTGGTGAAGATCTGACTCTTTGAATCCTAGGAGGACGTGGCCCCACCCTTTGAAACCAAGTAGGCCTTGCTTCCTGTGCTCCTTCCAACAGTTTTGCTGATCTCCAAGCTGCTGCAGGATAGTCCTTTTCTTTTCCTGGAGGACAACAGATGTAGCTCCTTTGGCCTGTTTCCTGCCTAGAACTCCAAGAGGCAGGTGGCATTCTTTTCCTTGCATTCTTTCTCTGTCCCCTTCAGTCTAAGCTGATGGGTTTTCTGCTGTGGTAGTTGGTTAAATCCATCAGTCACAGGCTTAATCACTTTAACAAATGTTTAGGTAACCACATCCTTGGTGAACATTCTGGGACAAATGTCCTTAGTTTGTACAACTGAATTTTCCAAATCTTTAAGTTCTGTTTTCATTTTTTTAAATTTTTTATTGTGCATTAGGTGAAAGTTTACAGAGCAAATTTATTTCTCATTTGATAATTTGTACATGAAGTGTTCCATGACATTGGTAGCATTCCCCTCAATATGTCAGCACTCTTCCCATTTCTACCCTGGGTTCCCCGTCTCTTTTCATCCAGATTTTTCTACCCCTTCCTGCCTTCTCATCTTTGCTTTTGGACAAATATTGTCCTTTTGATCTTGTATAATTGATTATTCTGAGGAACACGTTCCTCTTGGGTGTTATTGTTTATTTTATGGGCCTATTGTTTGGTGAAAGGTGGTCTCCATGATTTGCTTCAGTTCCAGGTCAGAAGGATGTCTTAGAGCCATAGTCTAGGGGCTTCCTCTAGTCTCTGTCAGACCAGTATGTCTGGTCTTTTTTGTGTATTTGATTTTTTCTACACTTTTTTTCCCACTCTGTCCAGGACCCTCTGTTGTGATCCCAGTCAGAGTGGTCAGTAGCGGTAGCTGGCCACCATCTAGTTCTTCTGGTCTCAGGGTAGGGTAGGCTATGATCATGTAGTCCATTAGTCTTCTGGACTAACTGCTCCCTTGAGTCTTTATTTTTCTTTACTCTTCTTTGCTCTGGATGGGAAGAGACCAATAGTTGTATCTGAGACAGCCACTCACAAGCTTGTAAGATCCTAGATGCTACTCACCAAAGTAGAATGCAGAACGTTGGCACCGCGTTACTCCATGACCTTTTTTTTTTTTTCTTCTTCTTTCAAAAATTTATACACAAATTGTTTAGTGACGTTAGTTGTAATCCCTGCAATGTGTCAGCACTCTTCTACTTTTCCACCCTGGGTTCCCCGTGTCCATTCATTCAGTTTTCCTCTCCCTTCCTGCCTTCTCATCTTTGCTTTTGGGCAGGTGTTGCCTGTTTGGTCTTATATACTTGACTGAACTAAGAAGCACATTCCCCACACGTGTTATTGTTTGTATATAGGCCTGTCTGATCTTTGACTGATAGATGGACTTTGGGAGTGGCTTCGCTTCTGAGTTAGCAGGGGTGTCCAGGGGCCATAGTCTCGGGGCCTGCAGTCTCTTTCAGACTATTAAGTCCGGTCTTTTTGTGTGAATTTGAATTTTCTACATCTTTCTCCTGCTCTGTCCGGGACCCTCTACTGTGATCCCTGTTAGAGCAGTTGGTGGTGGTAGCCGGGCACTATCTAGTTCTTCTGGGTTCAAACTGGTGGAGGCTGTGGTTCATGTGGTCCATTAGTCTTTTGGACTAATATTTTCCTTGTATCTTTGGTTTTCTTCATTCTCGTTTGTTCCAGATGGAATGGGACTAATAGAAGTATATTAGATGGCTACTTGCAATCTTTTAAGACCCGGATGCTACTCACCAAAGCAAGATGTAGAACATTTTCTTTATGAACTATGTTATGCCAATTGACCTAGATATCCTCCAAGACCATGGTCCGCAGCCCCTAACCCCAGTAACTCGGTCCCTCAGGATGTTTGGATGTGTCTAAGAATCTTCTATGACTTTGTCTTGGTGAAGTTGTGCTGACTTCTACTATATTGTGTGTTGTCTTTCTCTTCACCAAAGTTAACACCTGTCCCTCGTAACCATCAAAAATTTTTTTTTTCCAATGTGTAAACCTTTTCTTGAGTTTTTATAATAGTGGTCTCATACAATATTAGTTCTTTTGTGATTGACTTATTTCATTCAGCATAATGCCCTCCGAATTCCTCCACGTGGTGAGATGTTTTGCAGATTCATCATTGTTCTTTATCATTGCATAGTATTCCATTGTGTGTATGTACCATAATTTGTTTATCCATTCATCTGTTGATGAGCACTTAGGTTGTTTCCAACTTTTTGCTATTGTGAATAATGCTGCAATGAACATGGGTGTGCCTATGCCTATTCATGTGATGACTTTTATTTCTCAAGGATTGCACAGTTCATTTTTAAGTACATCTCTTCCTCTCGCATTTTACTGTAAGTGGCAAGAAAAAACCATGCGTCCCGTTTAAGCTCTTGCTTAGAAATCTCATCAGCCAAATATCCAAGTTTATCACTTAAAGTTCGACCTTCCACCAAATATTTGAACATTATTCAGACAAGTTCTTTGCCACTGCATAAAAAACATCACCCTTCCTCCACTGTCCAATCACATGTTCATCATTTTCTTTTAAAGCTTTACCAGAAGCACATTTAACGTCCACATTTCTAGCAACATTCTGTTGCTGGAACCATATGTATTCTCTAAGACAACAGAGACTTTCTCTATAGCTCTCCTCACTTCCTTCTGAGCCTTCACCAGAATTGCCTTTGATGCCCGTAATTTTACCAACAGTCTCTTCAAGGCAATCTAGGCTTTTACTATTATGCACCTTAAAACTCTTCCAGCCTCCACCCATTGCCCAATTCCAAAACCACTTCCACATTGTAGGTATTTGTTAGAGCAGCACTCCCACTTCTCGGTACCAAATTCTGTCTTAGTTATCTAGTGCTGCTATAACAGAAATACCACAAGTGGCTGGCTTTAACAAACAGAAATTTATTTTCTCACTGTTTAGGAGGCTAGAAGCCTGAATTTAGGGTGCTGACTATAGGGAAATGCTTTCTCTCTCCGTCAGCTCTGTAGGAAGCCTTTTGTCTCTTTTGAACTTCTGTTCCTGGAAGATCTTCATGTGGCTTGGCATCTCTCGTCCCCCATCTCTGTTCTGCTGGCTTGTTTAATCTCTTTTATATCTTA